ATTCTCGCCAACAACCAAACGGACTTCACTAAACGCAAGCTCACCGAAGCCATTCACATAAAACGCCATAAGCCCACCATCAACCGTGACCAAGGATACTTCATTCCATCAGCTTATGATCCACTCCTCCACCAAGCCCAATCTATTGTATAAACATCGCACCTATCGTATAAACATCTCCTTCATTGTAACTACTCCTGTATTTATACATCTCTGGATTCCATTCACCATCCTTTGTGTACTCACTGGCTTCATCAGCTTACTGCTTAACCAATTATGGCAATTATGTTGTTTCCTTTGTCAATTACAATGTATGTTGTTTCATTGTTATATACAGTATATATATGCAGCTCCTCCACTTCATGTATCACTCTTGCTTGACAACGGTACAAGAATCTGTATCGAAACGTCGCACTCACGAAATAAAGAAGTTGTTATCCATAAAAACGTGTTCCATATAGTAGTAGTAGTAGTAGTAGTAGTTCTAGTCTCTCTCTCTCTCTCTGAACCGAATGGGCGGGCAGGGGCTTACACATGACTCTCTCTCTCTCTCTCTCTCTCTCTCTCTCTCTCTCTCTCTCTCTCTCTCTCTCTCTCTCTCTCTCTCTCTCTCTCTCTCTCTCTCTCTCTCTCTCTCTCTCTCTCTCAGGAAAAATTTCGCAGGTTCTGGTTTGGCCTCTTTGGACTCGTGATTTGTGCATCCCGACTTCTTGTGAATCATTTCCTGTCTATTGTCACTGTAGCGAATAACGTATTAAAGTTACAAAAACCGAGCAAATTATACAATCATAACGTGATGTCGATGCGCTCATGTCAATATCTGTATTGTGTGAGTTTTCAATACACGCGATACCTCCCACATTATATATGGACAATCCTGTCTCCACCACGGGACTTGAGGTAAACGCCTATAATTAATCTCTCATGCGTCATGTCCCCTATTCATATCAAAGACAGATATGTTTACGTTATGCTAAACTTGCCTTCATATATATCGATCTTCAATGACAAAAAAAGTCATCACGGGGAATAAGGGTTCAGGGGTGAGAACCTGTTTAACAGAATTATTGAATATATGGCTGAAATCATGCTCCACTCACACCAGTTTTACTGAGCGACGAGAGTAGAAAAGTCATAATCTGTGATGTATTGTCCGCCAGAGCGATATAAGCCTGGGGGAGATTTAGGGAAGTGTGTGGGTGGGGTATTTATTTTTTCTTTTTTTTTCTTGTGTTCTGTATTCGAAACGATTAGTTAATAATCAGTTCTGCCAATCAATATACTTTCCTACAAAGAATGTTTCTGAATATCCAGAATCTCAAGATTACTGGTGAAAACAAAGGAAAGATAACGGAAGAGGAACACTTTTTATGGATAGACAACTTCTTAATTGTAATAGATGCGACGTTTCGTAGAGATCCTAACACCGACATATTGCAATAAAGAAGTCTATCCATAAAAACTGTCCTCCTTCACCCTGCCAGCATCTAACTGCCACTGAAAGAAGTTCTCATGCCGAGAAACATATTTTATCAGTATAGAACAAACTTTATGGATAACAACTTCTTTTTATTCGTAAGTGCGACGTTTCGATACGGATTCTTGTACCGTTGTCAAGCATAATGGAACATGAAGAAGGGGGAAGTGTATATATACTGGATGTAACAATGTAACAAAGAAAACAACATAATTAACGTAATTGGCTAGGCAGAAAGCTGATGAAGCCAGAGAGTAGACAAAGGACAGGCGTTGAAGCCAATGATGTACAAATAATAATGAGATGTTTATACAGCAGAGTTTATACAGTAGATTGGGCTTGGTGGATGAGTGCATCATAAGCGGATGGAATGAAGTATCCTTGGTCTCGGTTGATGGTGGGCTTTTGGCGTTTGATGTAGTGGCTTCGGTGAGCTTGCGTTTAGTGAAGTCCGTTTGTTTGTTAGAGAGAATGGTGATGTCAGACCACTCTATATTGTACTTCCCAACTTCTAAAATGCCACTCAAAGAAGATATTTCATCAGGGTTTATCTTTTACGCAACCATTACCAGTGTACCAGCCGGATCACGGACGTTCCACCAAGAACGATTTTCACGGATCGTATTCAGCTGAGGAATAGTAGCAGAGCGCACAGACGCTAACCCATTATGCTACCCTATTAAGCAACCAAATATATCCATTGTCAAATGTGACTGCGAAAGTGAGTAATCGGAGTCTGGGCCTAGAATTTCAAGCTCTCTTAGCGCTAAGATAATCGTAAGTTAATGTTAATGAATGGCACTTACGACTATCTTAGCGCTAAGAGAGATTCGAAAGTCTAGGCCCTGGTGTACACTGCTGGGGTAGGGGAGCATTCGTGACTCAAGCGGTTTCGCACAATATCGAGAATGTCCTTGTAACGTCTATCATATACACATGGAAAAAGATACCGCAACATAGTATCAATGTGTTACCATTACCATAGCAAGGGAACTTATCCAAATGTCAGTTTACCTTTACCTGGATACACTGACCCTCACGGAATGAATAGAAGCAAACACTGGTCACGCTGATCACTGTGGACGTATGGCCTGAACAAGTGCGGCCATTTTCAAGATTCAAACAATCAAATATCACATCCACCAATGTCAACATCAGGCCCCGATTTCTCGATATCACATTGAGTATTCAAATTTGAAAAATGCATTTCATGCACAATATCAATATCTGGTGTAACATCTTTTTATTTTAAAAATGCCAACTGCAATAAACTCAAGATTTGAGTAAAACTCCTTTGTTTCGAGAAATCGGAGTAACATCTGCTCCCTTTGACTGTATCATGTTGACTTTGACGTTGAGGTATTGCGCTCAATTCATGATGGGGGCATTGTTCCAATGCATCAAGGTTTTGTTCTAGGGGATCTCTCTGACTTATTGTTCGACCAAGTATCTCCCAAACAGATTGGGGTCTGGACTCCGCCAATGTGAAGTTGCTACCGCCTCTTGGTGTGAGGAATCACCAACGGCGCGTCCACGATGTGGCCTAGCATTGTCCTCCATGAAAACCAGCCTTGTGTTCAGAGGATGGTCATCGAGATGTGGTACAACAACTCTGTCTAGGATGTCAGTGATGTACTGCTGTCAATTCAGTCCATAACAAAGGGGGGCGGTGGGGTAGCCTAGTGGTTAAAGCGTTCGCTCGTCACGCCGAAGACCCGGGTTCGATTGCCCACATGGGTACAATGTGTGAAGCCCATTTCTGGTGTCCCCCGCCGTGATATTGCTGGAATATTGCTAAAAGCGGCGTAAAACCAAACTCACTCACTCACTCATAACAAAGGACTTCTGATAGTCGTCTGGCTCCATACCCGGCCAGTTTCAGGCGATTCCGGACGGTTCTGTTGGACAAAAGACGATGTTGAATCCACCCTGTTTATAAGACGCCACTTGACATGAACGGATGACGTCTTCTGCTTAGGAGAATGGTGTATCCTCCCCAACAGTTGTCACTCGTGGTCCACCTGGAGGTCCTTAACTTGATTAGTTTGCTGATGTTTTCTGACCAGTCGGCTGATAGTATATTTCTTTGTGATGCGAGTGTTGACCACTGCAGTGTGTGACGGAACTTGACCTGTAAACAGACCTGTAAACCAAGCTCCCGACAACCTAAAGATTTAAAAAGTTGTCAATCGCTGTGACGGATCAAGTCAATGCCAAAGCTCGAATATTGTTCGAGCGCCCCACTCGATTAGACTGTTTGACACAAAACAAACAAACACGAACATACTTTCATTCATTTAGAACCTCCAAACCTGAAAAAACATGAATCTTTAGCAAAAGTAGACATTTTTGCCCATGGGCCAACTTGTTTTTCGCCCATGGGCGAGATATTTTAATATTGCTCTAAATTAGCCGAATTAAGTCACAATGAGTTAAACTTTGTGTTATGATACATATAAACATACTTTCATTCATTTGCAACTTCCTAATCATGAATTCTGAACGAGTTTTGAAAAAGATATTTTTTCAAATTGTGATGTGTTATATTATATTTACAGCTTATAACACTATTCAGAAGTTCAGTATGCACATAAATCAAACTTCACCTGATACGTGCACAGCTGGCTGAGTGATTTACGCCGTCGCGGCTCCAATAGCTCCACGGGATCTGTTGATCATGGATCCATATCTTGATATACCCTGACATCGTACCTTGGTCGGATGAGAAAGATACAATAACTCGGTGCGCCTAGTGGCTGCAAGAGTTGTATACTCCCCAGGTAGTTGAGATTGATAATGCGATGTGCTGTTGAGATTGACATCCAATGATCGAGGGGAAAAAATACCAGCGCCTTGAGCATGCACTAGTGCGTGGATATGTGCGCTATATAAATATCCTATAATAATAATAATAATAAAAAATATATTTACGGGGATATCATCTTACACTCTAGAGGTATTCCTTTAACATGGTTGACAAAAGAAAGCATCCGTTCATGGATATACTGTACATGAAAGAAACATAATAATTATTTGTAGGTGATGTATGAGATACGGAAATCATTGGAAATATACTAGCATTTACCATGTCAATGAGCATCTTTAACAGTTTAGGGTAGCAACATTGTGTTTGTCAAATCCATTCTTTCAAATGTGTACTCTCTTTTGGGTGGCTGTATGACTGAGGCGTGCATTTGGTTGAACATATGAATTTTTAATTGTGATGACAACCAACACGTGGTACTTAGTGCGCGTTGGCCTGTCATAGGTACCCAAGCGTGTTGCCAGGTATGTCATGACAAGGTAGGTGCAATTTGTTCAGACATTGTAAAGCAGTTACTGTTGAAGGAGGTGTATTGTCCAGACCTCTCCTTCAGGTAACTGAAAAGCCTTACAAACTTACGTAACATTGGCTGACGCTGTAGATACGTTTTCGCTTTCATGGCGTTTTGTCATGGTCGGATGGATATAACTATTTGTATCAATGTCCCATTTATATATACGTGCAAATCACGACTTACATTGTCCCGAAGTCTTCCCTTTGGCATGCAGTACATGACTCACGCGGGGCCTTATACCTGGCCACTTTCCCAGCATTTCAAGATGAAGCATACAAGTGACTGAGTGAGTTTAGTTTTTACGCCGCTTTTAGCAATATTCCAGAAATATCACAGCGTGGGATACCAGAAATGGGTTTCACGCATTGTGCCCATGTGGGGAATCGAACCCGGGTCTTCGGCGTGACGAGTGAACGCTTTAACCACTGTAAGCCCTATGAGTTGCGAAGCTCTACAGAGGCGGCCATATGTCCCTGCTGTGGACACTCTTGTCATTTTCACTATGGACCGTATTTCTCTTTGACTTTCTGTGTTCCCTGCGACGATGGGGTAGCCTAGTGGTAAAAGCGTTCGCTCGTCACGCCGAAGACCCGGGTTCGATTCCCCACATGGGTACAATGTGTGAAGCTCGTTTCTGGTGTCTCCAAAGTTGAAATTGCTGGAATATTGCACACTTCTGTAATACCAGTGCCCCAACCATCTTCAGCTCTGAGACTCACATACTCATTATAAATGTGTGAACTGACATTCTTACACCTTGAAACAAATAACACTGTTGCGCGTCTTTTGCTGTACAGTATATTTAGATTTGCGACACTGCCAACCTGATGACCTAGCTGCTATGATGTTCTTCATGTTTAAGATGTCAATTTGTATCATAATTGAAGGGTGATTTAAATTGTTAAACATGTACATGCATAGCAAGAATAAAAGGTGTTGTGCATTTGATTGTTTTGTAAACTACATATGCACATATTACTCATGCAGTGTGTGATCGCTTCAGTTCACGCTATGTATGAAACCTGCTCGTGATTCAGGTTTATTTTAGAACAGTTTTTTTTCATTCACATCAGCGCATTCAAACTCGGTGGGAACGTCGAAGCTTACGCAAGATGATGACATGAGGGCACAGTAGACGCATTGAAGGAGCGTGACAGCAAGGTGTGTCAGGTAAATATGGCAGTACTTGGTATAATATGGCATACCAGCATTGCGTGTCAGTATTCATCAATATCATTAATGAATCGTTAGTAATTTGAATTTTGGCGGAATTCGTTATGTAGGCAATTGATAATGAATTGACATGTTTCTATATTGAGGTTTACATTACGTTTTGTGTAATCATTTTGGTTTTGTAGTTTGGCTAATATGTCTTGATTTCTTTGATCGTTAAAAACTACTTGCATGTTGTAGATCTATACCCATAAAGGAAAATGTGGATACGTAAGGGCTTGGCAGCAGCATGGATTATGCTATTAGTTGTTTCAAACGCTTCATCTCAAGAAGCAGGTACTGTATATATATAATGTATTGATAAAAATAATTCGGTAAATGCCTACAACAACATCTTAGATGATGTAGCGACGATGTCCTTTACGATTTTACGTATTAAGTTTAGCTTCATTGAATGAATGTAACGGACTGGATGCCGATTTGGATATGGGAGCTTGATGTGGGAGAAATGTCATACAAACCTTTCATTTCAACATTATATAGAGAGATTACTACACGACTGACTGAGTTTGGTTTTACGCCGCTTTTAGCAATATTCCAGCAATATCACGGCGGGGGACACCAGAAATGGGCTTCACTCATTGTACCCATGTGGTGATCGAACCCGGGTCTTCGGCGTGACGAGCCAACGCTTTAACCACAAGGCTACCCCACTGCCCGTTTACTAAACGGGTGGATGTTCAATATGGAAAATATTCCAACGAGATTTGTTTACACGTTTTCATTTATTTATACACCAAAACGTTAACAAATATTGAGCTGGAATATTTACCATGTTTAACATGAGTTTTGTGATCTATTTATTACACACAATACGGGAAAACAGTGTATTCAAAGAACCGAACATCAAGCAGACGATGCCGCATGTAAACAAAACGAAAGGGCGATAACTGTCATAAATACTATATCGATGTAATATGATGTAATCTAGACAGGCTCTGAAGTGGCTTTACATCTAGTTCTGTGATTTTAAATCATTTTAACCTTCTGTCATCATAATATACTGCTTTTTTAATGAATGAGTACTTCATGTTTCAGAAATGGAAGGGATTACTTTAGGTTTTTAATCTGTAACACGAAGCAGAGGTTATTCGATATATGTATACGTCTATCCAATTGAATATTAATAGTGTTGTCGGTTCTTTTATGTTAACTAAACGATTCCTTTTGGAGATGAAATTATCTATGTTTTTTTATTAACTCAAGTCAATGTGTTGGGCGCAAGTAGGACTCTTATTGGCCCACGTTGCCTTAAACTATAAAACCAACCAACCTATAGAGATGAAAACGAACTATTACAAATATTCATTTAAAAAAAATAATACTAATCCCCAGGACACCGATTTTGTAAAATCCTCTTTTGAAACATCTTAATGGCAATGTCTAATTATTTTATTTGAATGGAACTATTAAAAGGATTGTTATATTTAAGCTTTTATTTCAAAGTATATAGACAGGTATTAATCACACAATACATTTACATGAACACAGAATGACAAGGAGACCAGAATTTGTGAAACATATCGACTCTATTTGACGTTTCAGCTGCACACTTAGTGATATTAAAATAATCCCGGACTTTGTATATTAATGTATGGAAGGTTGGCAATTGTTTCTGTTTATAGTCAAATATAGTCGTTTTGAAAATCAAGATGATTATAATTAGTGGGTCATTGTTTCTCTCTGGAAAACCAATGAGTATCCCTTCTTTATTAAAATGAATTTCTATTTGAGCTTTTTCTTTTAGCCAACCTTCCAGTTTGGTCCACAATGGCCGTACAAGATCACATTCCCAAAATATATGCTGCAATGTATCTGTTTTGTGGGAACAAAAGTCACATCTATCTGATCTGATATTGCCCATTCTTTGTAAACGCATATTAGTTGGTGGGATATGGTGTAGGATTTTGTACTGGAACCACTGATTAAAAACATTTCTGTTTGACATACTTGCAATGTTTCAGCTACTGGCTGGAGTACCTGGGGAAACTGGGTTGAAACTTGTCAGCACACGTGTGGCTCTGTCGTCAGAGGCATACAGTCACGAGAAAGGAACTGCACCACAACAACACGATGTACAGGGGAAAAGATTCAAACTAGAATGTCAGTGTGCAACGTGCCAGCATGCCCCGGTAAGCTGAGTTCCGAACTACCGTCCAAATTTCAGCCTACACCACACTATGATGGTGGCTAAATAAGAGCAAACTAAAACCTTCTGCGAGAGGCATAGTTGGAGTAGTAAGGAGTGAGTGAGTGAGTATGGTTTTACGCCGCTTTTTAGCAATATTCCAGCAATATCACGGCGGGGGACAACAGAAATGGGCTTCACACATTGTACCCATGTGGGGAATCGAACCAGGGTCTTCGACGTGACGAGCGAACGCTTTAACCACTAGGCTACCCCGAGTGGTAAGGAATGATAACGAAGTATGCATGAACACTATCTTTAAAGAAGATGTTGTCATCATTACAAACGAGAAACGTTTTTCTTGAGTGTGCTGTATTTCGAATTATGGTCATGTTTTTGGTCTTAACTGTGATGTGCTACACGTACTGTACTGTTTTTGGCACAAAAAACCTTTGCACTTTTTTGGTTACATCCAGTTATCAGGTATATACTTTCCTTTTTCGGGAAGTCCATGTCGCTGCTCTTTACCTGATGGAACATCAGAGTTTGGTTTTAGCAATATCGCTTTTAACTGTACTCCAGCATTAACACGGTAGTTTGACATACTGTAATCGTGAGGGGGGGATCGAACTCGGTCTCCTGCCGAATGAACATTTTACTATTCTGGGGGCGGTGGAGTAGCCTAGTGGTTGAAGCGTTCTGCTAGGGTTTGTTAGACTCAGTATAGCAGTGTATCGGATAATACTGAGACTAACTTTACTTAGACTGGAGATATGACAATTTACTCAGGGTTGTAAATATGTATCTTTTCATGGTAAATTACAGCGATATTAGTCGAATGCATTTGCTTAAAAGACGACTGACTGACTGAGTTTGGTTTTACGCCGCTTTTAGCAATATTCCAGCAACATCACGGCGGAGGACACCAGAAATGGGCTTCACACGTTGTACCCATGTGGGGATTCAAACCCGGGTCTTCGGCGTGACGAGCCAACGCTTTAACCACTAGGCTACCCCACCGCCCCTCTTAAAAGACGAAAGTGTTAATACCAATGCAACATTTGACGTTGGGCGTTTCTTTGTCATAAGCAATTATCGTCACAGACTTCAGATACATACAGAAATACATATTTTGTAAAAAGAGATGGCGTTTTAAACAAAGGGAAGCGTGAATAACAAGGCATATAAATAATACCTTTGGGGGGTGCAGTATCACAAGTAATCACTGTAAGACAACCTGTGAATATTTTGTTCTGTGTATTCAGACATACAATAGGGTACGGCAGATCACTTTTTGGGAAGAAGTTTTGCTCGATCTTTGCACATTTTGTATGAAAGAGAGAATTGAAATTGAATTGAGTTTTCAAATTTCCAATACCGGTTTCGAAAACCATCAGGCCCTGGCGTCGTATAAGAATCGGACTTTTAATTACTTGTTTCATGCAAACAGATGTGATTGAACACACCAGTGGCGATCGCATCTTGTTATGTACACTACCTTTGTACTCCTCTTCCCATGATTAATCAAGGTAGTAGCTGTTGGGTATAGGCCACAACTGTTTCCGAAACCTTTCACTGGAATCCATAGAGTGTCTTTTCTCATCAGTACCTTTGGTTGTATTAACAATCGCTTGTAAATTGTGGTTCATCAGTTCTGAAATCTTCATTTCGTTTGATGAATTTCTTGACCCACTCTCTTTCCCTTTCCCAAATCTTTAACTTTTGCCTTCAGAGAATATGAAAGTTGGTTAGAATATTTTAGTCTGGTTAAAATGATCGATAATCGGAAATATCATCGAAAGGAAAAAGTATTTATCATTATTGATATGAAAATTGTGTTATCGATAATATCGTACATTAACTTTTGTGACAGATTTATTTTTAATTTTCACACACAATATACAATTTAGGACTTTATTCATGGTCTCTCCTAAATTTGGGGCGGTGGGGTAGCCGAGTTGTTAAGGGGTCCGATCGTCACGCTGAAGACCCGAGTTCGATTCCGCAGATGGGCACAATGTGTGAAGCCCATTTCTGGTGTCCTCCGCCGTGATGTTGCTGGAATATTGCTAAAAGCGACGTAAAACTACATATATTACATTATCCGCTTCGTTTCATGCCCTTGGTAACAATGATATTTGGCTTTTTCATTCCGCTGCCAGTGTTTCAGATCACTTGCCAAATGCCCTCTGTGTTAAAAGTGTTTACTTACTAACCTTTACCACTTACTGCACAACAAAATCACTTTCCAGTCGATGGTGGTTTCACACAGTGGACCGACTGGACCAATCCCCCGTGTTCACCTACATGCAATGCCACCAGGGTCTTCAAGAGATTCAGGACGTGTACTAACCCTAGCCCAGCATTTGGGGGAGCCTTCTGTTCGGGATCACCAATGGACACAACAACCGACATCTGCAACAACCCAGGATGTATAGGTGTGTACTTCTCGTGTACACAATACAGTACACGTCGTGTACACGTCACGCTGAAGACCCGGGTTCGATTCCGCAGATGGGCACAATGTGCGAAGCCCATTTCTGGTGTCCTCCGCTGTGATATTGCTGGAATATTGCTAAAAGCGACGTAAAACTAAACTCACTCACTCACTCACTCTCCTAAATTATGTTCAGGACGCTGTTGTAATCATCCACACATAAACATTTCACAACTCACCAGTGAAATTTATTCTCTTTCAGACAGTTTTGGTATTTTTACGTCTCCGATATTTATCGGATCGATATCATTTTAACGATTATCGATCTCTATAAGCTATGTCGATAGCTAACTCTAATTATTTTATATAAATATTTTTATTCAGAGGACAACTGGACATATTGGGAGGCTTGGACACCCACATGTCCAGCAACGTGTGGTAACAGCGTCACGGGAATGAAGTCCAGAACGAGAACCTGCAACAGCACATCTGGAACTGGATGTCAAGGTCCAAACAACCAGACCGAGGTGACACAGTGTAAAGTACCAGCATGCACAGGTAGGGTTAGTGAGTGAGTGAGTGAGTAAGTATAGTTTTACGCCGCTTTTAGCAATATTCCAGCAATATCACGGAGGGGAACACCAGAAATGGGCTTCAGACATTGTACCCATATGGGGAATCGAACTAGGGTCTTCGGCGTGACGAGCAAACGCCTTAATTACTAGGCTACCCCTTCGCCCCACAAGTAGGGTTACCATGGTTCCTAGTATGGTGATCTACCTTCAGTTGTTGGCGATCTATAGCCTGTTTTTATATTGTATTGTCCAAAAAGTGCTATTAGTTTTAACTTTCCACGCTAGTTTTAATTCTAATTGTGATATTCTAGTTGTTTTACTGTCCTTCGTCGACAGGTTTTTATAATATACATATCTTCCATTTCAATGTCACATATGTTCTCGTCACGATATGGCTGAAATATTGCCGATGTGACGTTAAATATTAACTCACTCACTCACAAGTAGGGTTAACAAATTTGGGATATGAGTAGATGGAATATTTAACCACCCTCAACTGTATTGCAAAACGAACATATTTCTAAAACGTGCGTTATTAGTTAAACGCGGCAGAATTTCTGCATTTACTATCGGTAGATGTAATAAAATCATTCAAAATTAGCATAACAGTATTGTACAGCTTGTGAACAGGTTGCATGTCACGGTTATTGTTGTGGGGCGCCAGTTTATGCAGATTGTTGAGGGTGATAGACCTCTTCACCTGGTGTCATTACTGAGCTTCAGTGAAGCATTCGCTATTTAGACATTTACACCATGTGGAATCTGTTTAGTCGAATACTCAACATAGGCTATTCATGAACATCTTGCCTCGTAACATTTATTAACTACCTTATATATTTATAACTGATATACATGTATTTAGCAATTCATGGGGACACTTTCTAGTCAAACAGACTGTAGTCGAACTCTAACGTTAATATTCTAAAGTTAACCACACTTCAAAGAGCGTTGAAATGTTATTGCAACTATCTGCGCATGGTGTTTCAGAGGTTAACCACTTGTTTAATTTCAGTGAATGGATCCAGCAATATGGTATTTCAAACTCCACTGTTGGCAGCTCTCATCTTGGTCAACCTTCTTGCCTATTAAGGATCCCGGTATTCCTGTTGATTCCAAAAGACTCATATGATTATATAATGCACCCATAGAGTAGTATGGAGTGTACAACTAATCCCTGACAACAACACAAAGGCAAATCAACATTATAATTTACTTCTTTCGAATGTATTCTCTTAATATGTTATTCGTAACACACCCATTTCCAATACTCACAGCGACGAACCAACAGACTTGAAACACAAGAGTATCAACACTCAAGTTAGAGTCGCATACCATGGCTACTTTCGAGCCTGGGTACTGTAAAGATCATACCTGTAGTTGTTGTTTCACGATGTCACACAGGTATGTAATCACTACTGTTGAAGGAAACCACCATGGAAAAGACTGTTACACTGACTTTAATAAAGCTGAAAGGCATTCAAATAAAATAGCAGTGACTTTGATCACGCGTGTTTCCATTTTTTTATTAATTTTTTTTATTTTGTATGTTTTTATTTATTTAATTATTTTATTATTTATTTTTTATTGGGGGTGGGGCTGGACGTGGTGGTGGCATGGAGCTAGATGTTTAGAGTTATGGTTGTCTCGCAATTAATTCATAGTCATAGTATTTACAAAAACAATATCCTGTTATGTCGAACACAAAAGGTTAAAAGGTTTGCTAAGGTTACAACTTGTATCAAGAAATTTGGCCTGAAAACAGCAATGCGTCAAAGATCAAAGACAGGAAAAACATGACGTCTGAAGTTATCTTGCGGCTTGACTTGTCAATTTACTCAGGACACAAAACCACTCAGACAAGAGGATAATACAACTCTTTCATATAACGCGAGGAAACCAACATTTATGTGGGGACTATACAAGGCAATAAAAGCCTCTTTACTTCTTTCGTTGGCGACGTGAGTATTGGAAGAGACGCTGTTCTCACGTTGACCTTCACCTTTGACACTGACGTAATGCACACAAACGAGTGACACAGCATTCACTTTCGCGCAGGTAATCCTCATTTGTCTTGCAAATACATTCTAAAGACAGGTCACCGAAATAAATCAAGCAAGCCCGACAATAAAGACAGCTAGTCACGAAACCCCGCTGCACTTTCACACAAGATAGAATTCTTAACAATGTCCATGTGGTGGAACTTCAGATTTCCATGACATCATTAATGTATCCCATTAAATTGCATTTCTAACGCCATGACGCCAGGCTGACCTTCACGTGTAGGGATGTTTAGCATAAGTTCACAAGTTCACTGGAGCATCTTCATTTGATGACATCAGAAACCTGTTATATCCTTCGAGCAAAATACATGTTATACGTTGTAAAAAGCCTGTGCAACAATATTTACTTAAAATATTTACCTTATTATTCGCTGGAATTGAGTCGTTTAAACAGCTTGGGACATGCCCGTTATATGCTCGTAGAGAGTGTTCAACGGGTAAGAACCTGGTTAGTTATACCTACACATCAGTAACTCTTGTTTAAACTGGCATTTAACTCAGTACATAACTCAAATCAATCAGACCTGTTTTAAATATGTCCAAGCGTTCCATCAAGCGGTCGTGGCATTGTAACGCACATAAGCGCGGTGTCAGCATTGATTTTCAATGATCCATTACTTCCACCTCTATTTCACCTTTTAAGCCTAATGTGTTTCGGCGGATAAACGAGAACGGCTATTTTCTCGAGATGATTTAAATTATCGTTCACTTAACATATGGGGCGGTGGGGTAGCCGGGTGGTGAAAGTGTTCGCTTGTCATGCCGACAGACCCGGGTTCGATTCATCACATGGGTACAATGTGTGAAACCCTGATATTACTGGAATATTGCTAAAAGCGGCGTGGAACTAAACTCACTCACTTACTCAGGCAACATATCATGATCTGAATGTGCACAGAAAAGCATCGAGAATCGATAAGACGCTGCTGCGAATGGATCAATATATAAATGCGCAAGTTTATATTTTTGGATAATGTTTTTGTGGAGTGAATGAGTTTGGGTAAAACGCCACCCAAAACAGCATCAAAGTTACGGCACTGTCAGCTCAATGTCGACAGATGAAGTGATGGAATCTACCATTATCAGTAACTACCAACAAAGTAACATAAACTGATTCAAGATGATCTTTACACATTAGAAAACAGTCTTTAATAGTATTTTTCAAATAGAATTTGTTTCAGGTCAACGCATGTATTTATTTACATAACCACGCTTGTATTGTAAAAATCTAAGATTCGCCTTGAATATGGTCCTTTGGTTTGGCCACAACAAAGTAATATATATCTTGCATTACTTCGGGTTTTCCTCCCTCTCAGTATCCAGATGGCTTTAATGCCGTCCCCACCACTCACAATGGTGTACTTAGGACGAGTTAGAACTCCATAACAGCAGTTGTCTACATCAGACCGGCAAGGAGTTTTCATCAGGTCGGTAAGAGTTGTCTACCATGTTACGCGCAAGATGTCAGACGAATCGTCTGCTCTCAAATATCCAAGCCAGAATGCAGTGATGGTGTCATCAGTTTAAACCCCAGTTAAATGGAGGTGAGGTGAAATGGTAGCGTTCAAATTATATAGCGACGTACACATATGTGTGTGGTTGCTTTTCTAGTCTAGGTTAATGACGGTTTTGTGGTGCCAATACATTGATATATATCCTGTCGCTATTTAACATAGATACTCCACTCAGATACAGAATATTGACTTCGGGACGACTATTCATTCCTTTATCGCCTTAATGTCGAGCGCCAGGCAGGGTGACAATCATGTTTTAAAACCTTTTGGTATGACGAGGCCGGGGATCGAACCCAGTGAATTCTAACTCCGAACATATCCACCCGACCACGCGTCCTCAACTGTAAGTGAAAAGCGTATCAAATCTACAAATCTCCCCAAAACAAGTGATTAAGCTTTTGGATTATAACCCGTTGGTTATCACACTCTTTCTGATAACCTTGTATGGTCATTGTCACTGCATTCGTGTATTCGATATTCCGACCCTTTCGGTGACGATTTCTAATGACGTCCTTTGGCTTGCATTAACCTGTGATGAATACGGCATCTTGACATATCAAGATATTAAGATATCACACTGTTACGACCGATCTACTGCTTTCGTGATTCTTTCCGTGATAACCAAACCGGAACTGCAGCACATACATGTAATCCTAAAACAGTGGTCTTCGAATGATATTTCCACATCATATACTTGCCAGAGTGCTAGTGGTGTTCCGATTAATTGAAATAATCGAAGATTGGTCGAAGTGACCAAACGACCAAGCAATCGATCACATTTTCTCATAATCGAAACGATTTTGGAACTGCTGTTTTAGTGTTTGAAACACTAGACGATGGAACATATCTTCGAAGTTGTCAGGGCCTGAAAACTTGTTTAATTCTTAGAAAAGTCACTTCACTAACTGAAAAGTCATGACTGAATATTTCTTGAAGACTCCAGAAAGTTTATGTTCATGATATATTACTCATCACTTTAAAGTGGCAAGTTGCATCATGTTATACATATCTACAATAACAACCTTGGTAGGAAAATCTGAAAAATGACGCTAACCAATTTTTTGCGATGATTGTTTGTTGGTAATGAAACAATCATCAATTGTGAGATTTCAACCAATTCCCTACACTTCAGTGTACAACAGTGAGGATCGTCACCAACCCATGCTTGTTGTAAGAGGCGACTAATGGGACATGGCGGTCAGTCTCGTCGACTTGGTAGACAAATGTCACTGTATCCGTATTTGTGCAGATCGATGCTCATGAAGACAATCAATTGGTTATCTGGTCCATACTTTCTAATGTACATAACGCTGTCATACTGCGGGAATATTGCTGAGATAACAAGCAAATATACTTACCAGGTTCACTATCCAAAAGCGATGGCTGTCACTGGTCAGCTCGATTGGTTGGTAGGTTGGTTTGTTTGTTGTTTAAAGACATACTTAGCAATATGGCGGCGGTCTGGACCGGACAATCCAATGATCAACGGTATAAGCATCGATCTACGCAATTGGGAACCGATGACATGTGCCAACCAAGCCAGCGAGCCTGACCACCCGATCCCGTTATTTGCCTTTTACGACAATCATGGGTTGCTGAAGACCAATCCTAACCCGGATCTTCACGGGTAGATCAGGTGACTAAACGAGGCACATGTTCATGCGAAGGACGAACTTGTATCATTTTAAATCCAAGGTTAGTTTTCCTCAGACAAAACTTGTGTTTAAAACCACAAATATGATTGTTGAGTAGATACAGAACTTCGTGGTTTAGAGTTGTTCCTTATTTAAAGCGTTTGGTTCATGAAGTGTCATATTTTTACGTTGCTAGCATCCTGCCCAAAATCTACAACGAACGGCTTTCAAAATATGACCGTCAAACAACCGCTGACTTTCTTGTAATATGAGATAACAGATGCACGTGGTAACCGAATTGTATAACATAGATAAATAATCTAGAAATTACATGATACGCTGGATCAGTCTATTGCTGACTCTAAATAGATCACAAGAACCACTGCTATCATAATACGTTCCTGACAACCAATTATTGTCACAATACCATCTTATTAACTTCTACTGAACCCCATGAGACACGCTGTAATACGAGTGCAACAGAATATAACAATACACTCCTATATAACAGCTCACGTCATGGTGATCACGATCACCTCGACCTGTTTTGTCACGTGTCTCCATTTTCAGTGTACAAGGTTATTTGTATTTCAAAGTCTTTTTAAGGACCTTAACCTGTATGTTTCATTACCACGTCGAACCCGTCGAAATACTCGTCGAAACTCGAATTTGACTCAAAGCACACACCTTCGGAGACTAGCTGAACTTGAGTTAGCGCGACGAAGCGCCCATAAAATATATTCTAGTTTGTCATTCACCAGAGGACACAAATGCTGGAAGTAATGTCTTGGTGTGGGTGGGAGGGAGGGGTGGGGCATGGGGTTCTTACGAAGGTACACGGAGCTGGGAGCTCGCTATCACATTAATCTAACTACTCATGGGCCAAATGAGCCGTTACCAGAATGACCCACGTATCCGCCATATCGGACCAGGGGGTGCCATTTGCCTGTTGTGGTGAGGGTTCGCCTACCGGTCGAGCCTACCCCCCAGGCCGTATGAGTCAGTAGCTGGGGATGGGGGTCATGACCCTTTCTAACAATACCCCAAACATCTGTAACTTTCAAGGTTAAAATGTAAGTTTGTACAAAACCTTTTCGATGTTTCAACAGGTCAGTAAAACAGCGTTTTGTGAAAAACTCACAAAGGTTGTGATACAAATGAAATTACAATATTTGTAAGAGAAATTGCGAAATAAGAAACAAATGTCTCTGTTGAATATGTCATTTACCGTCTTTAAATGTACAATGTAAGAATAACGCAGACATTGTGAGTAGTACCAAA